CCCCTCCCACCAGCCATGATCTGCCTGCCAGCCCCTCCCACCAGCCGTGATCTGCCTGTCTGCCCCTCCCACCAGCCATAATCTGCCTGTCGGCCCTTCCCACCAGCCAATGATCTGCCTGTAGGCCCCTCCCACCAGCCATGATCTGCCTGTTGGCCCCTCCCACCAACCATGATCTGCATGTTGACCCCTCCCACCAGCCATGATCTGCTAGTCAGCCCCTCCCACCAACCATGATCTGCATATTGACCCCTCCCACCAGTCATGACCTGCCTGTCAGCCCCTCCCACCAGCCATGACGTTCACAAGGCGGGATGAGGTACGCCGCCGGGTCCCCTCCTCTCTCCTGATACTGTCGGGGCGCTCGGTCCATGACTTTTCAAAGGGGGTGACACCAAACTGACTGTCACCCCCTCAATGGTGTCACCCGGGTGCGGGCCGCACCCCCCCTTGTGACGCCACTGAGTGACATACTTTATACATATGTCCTCCTGGTTACATAACACTCAGGGTGGGATGAGATCCGCGTATGTGTGAAGTAATCTCCGACACGCGGTGAATATTTGGCGTCCGCGGATGATGCGGGTCAGGTGGGCGGAGCCTGAAGTGGTCAGTTATATAATTGAGCCGATCCGGTTAATGGATAACAGGAGTGACCCGGGCGGGCGGGCGGCGGACCCTCCGCACAGGATAATCATTAACCCCGAAATGTCAGCGTCGTGTTTTTTTTTGGTTACAGTTTTCATAAAATGATTTACAAAAGCCGAGCGTGAAAATCTGACACCCGAGCTAAAGGGGAACCCCGACCGCGCCGCTCCATACAACACTATGTATAATGTCATGTGACCTGTAGCAGCCAATCGGAATTCATTTTTCTTTACAAACCCCGGTGATCCTTGACAATCCTTTGTCAGACACTTCCTGTAATAGGGTGACAACGCTCTGTCCTTGTTCAGGCACTTCCTGTTATAAGGTGACCAGGCTCTGTCCTTGTTCAGGCACTTCCTGTTATAGGGTGACAACGCTCTCTCCTTGTTCAGGCACTTCCTGTTATAGGGTGACAATGCTCTGTCCTTGTTCAGACACTTCCTTTCATAGGGTGACAACGCTCTGTCCTTGTTCAGGCACTTCCTGTTATAGGGTGACAACGCTCTGTCCTTGTTCAGGCACTTCCTGTTATAGGGTGACAATGCTCTGTCCTTGTTCAGACACTTCCTGTTATAGGGTGACAACGCTCTGTCCTTGTTCAGGCACTTCCTGTTATAGGGTGACAATGCTCTGTCCTTGTTCAG